TGGGGTTTATATGCAGGAGCAGTATGGCTTCTATCTATATTGCTTTTTTTTTCTTTTGAGGAATTTCCATGCTGTTTTCCACAGTAGCTCTACTAATTTAATATTCTCATCAGCAGTGTTTCAGATTTCCTCTTTAAATATTAATTGCATAATTATTTACTCACCATTTAATCAATGTCACTTCACTTTACAGACTCAAAGCTCATGAAGCTAGAGACTATGCCTTGCTTGCTTGCCATAGTGTCCTTGATGCTTGGTGTGTACTGTACACTCCATAAGTAGCCATTGAATAAGCAAATAATTATTTAAAGAGCTGTGATCTAGGGCTGGAAAGATGGTTCAACTGTCTTGCTCTTCCATTGGGCCCAGGTTCAAGCCCCAGCACCTACATGGCAGCTCACAGCCAGCTTTAACTCTAGTCCCAAGGGATCCAATGCCATCTTTTCACCTCTGCAGACACTGTATACATATAGTGCCCAGACATACATGCAGGCAAAGCACCCCCCCCAACACACACACACACAAAATGGGAACAAATAAATCTTTGAAAAAAAAACTTCACAAAAAACAAAGAGGTGTCATCTAATGGTCCACATTTGCTTTTATCCCAGATGAAGCTTGCTAATGAAAGGGACTCATCTTATACATTAACTTTTGCCACTTAAAGAAATCCCCTATAGCCAGGTGGTGGTGCACACCTTTAATCCTAGCTCTCAGGAGGCAGAGGCAGGCAGACCTCTGTGAGTTCAAGGCCAGTCAGGTTTACAAAGCAACACAGAGAAACTCTGTCTCCGGAAGAAAAAGAAAGAAAGAAACCCCTTGTGATTACTTACAAAAATTTATTGGCCTTGCAACTACAAAGCAACACAGAGAAACTCTGTCTCGGGAAGAAAAAGAAAGAAAGAAACCCCTTGTGATTACTTACAAAAATTTATCTGTGGATTTTAAGGATGCAGAGGTCAAGAGGGAGAAGAAAGGTTGTGTCAGGGCAAGATTAGAAGAAAGTATATGTGATAGGTAGGGTTTTAGTTGGGGGGGATGGTAGGAGAGGACGGGAGGGAGAAGGGAACTGGGATTGTCATGTAAAACAATCTTGTTTCTAATTCAAATAAAAGAAACCTGGGAAAAAAGAACTTAAAACAAAACAAAACAAAAAATCAGGCACACAAAAGCTTATCAGTTTGTGAGATTGATAATTTAAAATAATTGGAGATCATTTTTGACAGAACAAAGTGAGGACAAAAACAAAGACAACCGTTTAAGGAAGCTACCCAGATTTTCCTGAACACGAGAGATGCTTCATACTTCACGGTGGTAGTACCAAGGTGTGTTGTTCTAAATATTTGCATGCTTGGTACACTGCATCTGCTGTCTGTAAGGGTGACTGATAGAAATGACAATTAGGGCCCTGGAATCCAGAGTTGATGGCTCATCTAGGATTAGCATCTTGGGGCATGTGAGTCTTGGACATACCAGTATCTTCAGAGGTCATAGGAAGAGTCACTTTGAACCTCTTCAACAGAAGCCTGGAGTCTGAACCTCCTTAAACTAACACACAGCTAAAAGACAATCTTTTCTTCTGGGGATGAGCTGTAGGCCAGAGGATGGAAGAGGATGTTTCACAGTTTCAGACAACACGAGCATTGTCAGGAGGTTGCTGTCCACCCCATCCTTCCCTAGTCCTCTCTGCCCTCAAAAGATTTTTTTAATGTGTTCAGAGCCACGATGTTGCTCAGTTTTGCTACCAACTTTCCTTCTTGACGATCTTTTATTTCAATGTCGGCTTTCTTTCCCCTGTGTGCTCACTGACGTCTGATTGTGGGATCCAGCTTTAATTAGTCTGCATATGAAGTTTAATTCACTGTGGCTCTTTTGGCACTAGACTCAAATGGGCTTTGATGTCTGGCTGGAGCTTTGATCCCAGACCCTCAAATGGTGGTCATCACCCAATCTCAAAGGATTGCACTTTGCTTTCCCCCCTCCCATCTGGAGACAGCTTTCCTCAATTACATCATTTGTCTCTGTTTGGCCATAAAAGCTGCAAGACATCATTTGTTACTTTTCTCTATAGCAAATCATGCAACTGATGCTCCTTACTCTGTCTTCAATAGAATATTCACTGCAGGATAAGGGACTTGCAGAATGATGCTCAGACTTTGATGGGGTACTCTTAGGAATTGTTCTGTCCAAGGGTCCAGCTTCAGACTATTACCTACAAACCCTTTCCTGCACCTCCTTAGAAAATATCTTTAAGAATAAGCTACACAGTTGCAGCGTGTCCCAGGAACAGATTTTCTTGCTTCTTTGCTGGTAGCTTTACTTCACTCTCCAGATCCTCAAGGTAGCAGTTCCTTCTATCTTTAAGGTCACACTCTCTGGAGGTCTATAGCAGTGTTTCTCTAAAGACTAAGCCTCAGGGACAGGAAGAGATCGAACTAGGGCCGAACACCACTTGAAAGGAGTTAAATGAGTAGCACTGTTAGAAGCAGCAGCAGCAGTGACTGCTTAAAAGAGAGGGAAGAAAGATCAAAAATCATAGTGGGAAAGAGAGACCCTGTTCGTCATGGAAAGGAACTGTGGGTGATTACTGTCTTTTTTTTTTTTTATCTACAAACAAAACACAGAATCCAAGCATAAAGAAAATCCAACAAGCTAAACTAGAGAGGAGAATATTTGGCTGTTAGGTTCAGAAGAGAACAGGGGCAACCAGGCCAGTCACACTTAATCTGATGACATTGGGAATTTTCCTGGAAAAACAATTACCGCATTGAGCTCCTTGCTTCAAACTTCATTTAACAGCCTGAGTTTGTTTTAATTGGCATCTGAATGAACAGCATTATTTATTAATGTGTAATGGATACTTTGGAAAGGATAACCCCCTTTTTCCTATTCCTGACCATTTTATTGGTGGAATCCTCCGAATACACTAGTTTTAATATTTAAACTCATCGAGAACATTTTTTTTTTCATGGAGATGAACAAGCTGCTATGACAAATGGTTTGCTTTGGACCAACAAGCCAGCCTACAGAGGCATTTGGTGGGGAGCAGGGTGTGTGTGTATGGTGGGGGGTGGTAGGAAGGTGGAGAAGTTTGGAGACAGGGCGACTTGTCTGTCAGCTGTAACAAGATTTATTAGCAGTGTGTAAAAACACATTTCAGCTTCCTCCCCTTGAACTATATAAATATGGTTGTCAATGTGTGACATAACACAGGCCACAATAATAGGGTCCACCCAGCCAGAAGGAACCTAATTCAGAACTAGAAAGCTAGAGGTCTGTTTAGAAATGGGTAGAATGAAACAATGGCACAGGATTTGTGAGCGTGGCATTTGTCATGTAAGACAAGACATTGTTCTTGAAGTGTCTTCCTGAAACTAGGAACAAAGCTAGTTCTTGTAGGATCACATTGTTTGGCACACAGTAGGCATAAAGAATGTGGGACCTGTAGACTTTGTGTGTGTGGAAACACCTGAATATGGTTCCATTTTTATATCATGCTAATCATGAACCAAGGCTGTGGTCCCTTTCAAGTCTGTGGGCGGTCGGGGGTGGGGGTGGGGTGGGGAATAAGGAGTGTGAGAAAGGTCAACTTAATTCTATTTGTTGGAGAGATTAAGTGGGTACCATTAAGTTTAAAAGTATGCTAATAGAAAAACAATTTACAACTAACACGAATCCTCTGGAGCTTTTCCTCTAGCAATTATCAGTTGTGTGCTTCTAGGCCTGGTACTGAGTGAGAACTCTGATACTATGAGGGTATTAAAACAGTCCCTGCCTTCAGGGAGCTTTTATGATGTAGCTGGAGAGAAGACACACAACGAACACCTAAGTACACAGATTGTGTGTGCCCAGAACCAGACCCAGATAAGAGCATGTGAGAAGGACCAAACATTCATGCAGTTAACAGTTCAGAGCAGGGAAATGAATGAATTGAAGATTAGACCACATGGGGGGCGGGGGAGGGAAGGAGACTTCCTTGCTGGAGTAAGCAGCTGGACAAAGGTGTAAAATTCTGAAATCATGACCTGAAATGTGTTCCTTCATATAACACTTTGTCTTAACTTCATCAAATTGTGACTTGCTAAATTCAATTTCGGAGGTGTTTGGATGCAGTGTTTTTTAAGAGACGTGGTATAGCTCATAAGCCAGCTAGTGGCATTTCCAGATAGATCCCTATACCATTGAAATGCCCAGTGAGTGGTGTCCCAAGGGCACTGGTCAAATCCCAAACGGTACTTCAGGGGAAAATTTTATTGTAAGTCCCCCTGGAGAAAAAAAAGTATGAGAGCGATAACTCTCTCTTTTTATTTACCTTACTCCCCCATCTCCCCACCGGGTGTTTTGAGAGAGGGTTTCCCTGTGTAGCTAGCCCTACCTGTCCTGGAACTCACTTTGTATACCAGGCTGTACTTGAACCAGCAGATCCGCCTGTCTCTGCCTCTCCCAAGAGCTGGGATTAAAGCCGAGTGCCACCACCGCCCAGCTGAGAGCAATAACTCTCAAAATTTATGTGCAGGTCCACCTCCTATGTATTACATGCTGTTTGTCACTGATTATTAGAACAGGCTGGTATGTTAGCTCCATTTTACTATCGGGTAAACGGAGGCACCAAGAGAGTCCACCCAACTTCCTATTGGTGAATGAAACAGAAATCAGATGCAGACAGTCTGATTTCAGAGTCAGAGCTCTAGTCAACAGGGGCTAAAGAACAGTAAGATCCCAAATCCCAAGTGCTCAGACGCCACCCCTCATAAAGTCTAGCTTTTATAAGAATTGATGCGACTGCTGGCCTTACAGCTGCATCCTTCTGCCTGATTTTAAATGCCTTCTACAGCAAAGCTTCCGTTGAAAAGCTAAAACAAACCAAAAGAGAGTTTAAGAAAAACATCCTTGCCTTGTATTTTTTTTTCAGTTACAAAATAAGAATTTAAAACAAAGACAACCCCAAAGCCCAAATCCACAGAAATGGTGTTCGAGTACTCAGTCTACATTAAGTTGGGATGGCGAAACCCAAATCCGAGGGAACGGACTCGGAGAGTGGACGCGTGAGGAAGGGGTTAAGTTGCAGAAAGTTGTCCCGGGAGCCCGAAGCCACGGCGCCCGCGCGGGACTGGCCCGCGAGGCTGGATGTAACAAGATGCCCGTCCTG